ACCTCCGGGGCCCACTCACAGCCACTGCGCAAGCGCCGCGGCCAGCTGGGGAGCGCGTGTGAGGGCGCGCCGGTAGAGTCGCGCATGCGCAGCGGCCCTAACCCGGAGGACCGGTGAGGATTTGACAGCCGCGGTACGGCCCTGAGCGCCAAAGCGGTGACTGCGTCTGCGCCAGCCGGGCGAGCCTATCCAGGCCGGGTTTTACAGGTGGTCCGGTTGTGAGCGTTTCAGGTGACTCAGGACAAGTACCTGCAGGATTGTGGCGCTATGGCCTGCCAGTTCTTTATGGTTGGCCATAAGCCCGCTTTGGCTATAGGTAACGCAAGGTGTGGCCAGCTCAACTGCGGGTCCTGCAAGCAAATCTGGCCCAGCTCCGCTGTGGGTCCTGCAAGGCCAGACTCTGCTATAGGATGCCAGTGCAAGCCACACCGGCATTGATGGAACTGCCTGTAGAACCTCTGCTAGCCACATTGGGCCTCCATCCCTTCTGTCTTTGACCTTGCCAGGCATCTACCCCATAGAGCCCGAGGAAGACAAAAACAAAAACAACTTGCTCCGGCAGGTGAGGCAGTTCAGCAGTACCGTGCTTGCTCAACGGTATTGTGCTTGCTCAACGTGCGCAGCGCTCTGCCTTCAATTCCCAGCATTGCCGTGAATAAATAAACATTCAGTGGACGAGTGTTTAAAATACGCGTTTACCCAGAAAAACGATTTAGAAGCCCGCAGAGCCTTAGAGATTAAGAGCACATGTAGTTTTGCATAGGACCCAAGTTTGATCCCCAGCACCCAAGGAAGTGGCTTCACAACGCCTGTTATTCCAGCTCCAAGCAACCCTCCAGCTCCTCTGGCCTGCACATGTTAATCCTTTAAAAGATTAACAATCCTTTTTAAAAAAAGAAAAGTGGCCGGGCGTTGGTGGCGCACGTTTTTAATCTCAGCACTCGGGAGGCAGAGGCAGGCGGATCTCTGTGAGTTCCAGGCCAGCTAGGTCTCCAGACGAGTGCCAGGATAGGCTCCAAAGCTACACAGAGAAACCTTGTCTCGAAAAACAAACAATAAAGAAAAAAGAAAGAAAGAAAGAAAAAGAAAAGCGAATTAGGATGACTGTCAATCTCTAACACGTAAACTTGTCATGAGGCAGCGGTCCCGCTGAGTGCCAACTGGAAGGTGTAAGAAGTATCTTCTTCACTCAGGATGTCCCTGTCTCTGATCTAGGAGGGCAGGACGTGGTGGTAGCCACCTCTCTGGAGTGGTGTGCCTCACACTGGGACGCATCTGGGATGCCTGTTTGCCCCGGGAAACTCTGGGGTGCTGGTGACGAAGCCCACAGTGGGCAGGTGGGACAAGAGTCCACGCTCGCGCTCTCTGAGCGTGCTCAGTGCTGTTCGGCAGCAGGCTCAGACTCAGAACCAGCTCAGTTCGGTGCAGGTCAACCTCCTCCTCCTGAACATGCTCGTCGAGGGATGAACTGGGTTCGTCGGTGTCTTCTGCGCATGCTCAGCGGGGTGCTGGCCGGGATCCAGTAGGGTAGCCTCTGGGCATGCTCAACGCAGCGCGGCCGGATCCAGTCTAGTAGCTTTTGCGCACGCTCAGAGCGGCGCTGTCCCGGCCCGAGCGAGCAGGGGGCGGGCAGAGGCGGGGCCGAGGCG